ATCAAAATTAACCCCCAAAAATAATAATGTCATCTTACAATTTTGCCGAATAAAAATTGGCATACAAATAGAAACAGGTTACGAAAGACACATCTAATATGCTGTTAATAAGCAAATTTACCAAGATACCAAGTAAAGTAAACTGAAGAACAAACACTTCGTCATAATTTTCCTGAATTATTTAAATAAATTTTACAAAAGAGCACATCCATTAGAGTATAAAATAAACAATTAACAAAATATTTGTATTAATTATATTCAAGGTCAAATCAAAATTTTTAAAATTTCGTACAACCCATATTTTATTATCTTTATCTTTCTTTTAATTATATCATGGGATACTAAGTTAAATCCGTTTTCACTCATGAATGAAAACGTTTTTATTATTCGACCCATCAATCACATGAATAGGTTTTTCTGCATAAAAGTACACTTGTAAATTACAAACTGTTTTGTATACAAACATGTGTTTGAAGGGCATTACGACGAGAATTTGAAACTACAATTTGTTTTCATTTAATAGCAAGCGCGAAATCGTTTCTAAATTTTATTCAAAAATAAAAGGGGAGTTACGGTAGTGGAAAATTCAGAAAAAAATCTCTGTTAACTATCTTAATTGAAAATATCCTTACGGACAGTCAGAAATACTGAAATTATAGATTTTTATTTGAGAATTCTTAAAAAAATGGTCGAAGGGTATTTCGACAGAACTTCCTGCGCGCTTAGAGTACAGTCCAACAAATACCGCGCTTTGGTAAATACAGGGTGCCGCATCCAAGTCTGGATATAGGGAATTAACATGGGAATTAGTTTTTATTTTATAATATCTCCCCAGATCACTTTAAAGCTATTATTGAGTGATGGCTTTGTGGAGGTCGAAGAGGGCTATCGGCCAGTATTTTTTCAAATCGTTGCATCGCGCTCATTTACTGTAAAAAGGTTTTAAAAATCGTATTTTGAAATTCGCGCCCGATCCGAGTTGTCGCGAAATGTTCCGTCGCACTGTCGACGTTCGGCGATCGCGTCTTCAGATTAGCCATGCAAAATCGAAATGTCAAAGTGAAATTAGAAATTATTCTCAGAAATCAACGAACAACTCAAACTGATTTATTTTATCCGGTGTGATGATTATTGTAGGACAAATTAAACGGAATAAATGCACAAATTGATCCATTCATTCGTCATAGTACGCGACCCCGTCAAACGATTCATCTCGAACTACACTCAGGCCGTATCCAAAAAGCCCGAGATGAAGACTTCGAGCAGCTGCGATTACATGAAAAAGAGAGGGCCTGCTTGTTCTTCGACGGTTAATTTAATTAGGAGGTAATTTGGATAAATTTCACACTTTTTTTTGAATCACCAAAGATTAGAAGTCAATTGATTTTACATTCGTTAAGCAGGGATGGAATTTTTGCCGCATGGAAACATGTTCGTTACAAGAAATTTTTGAGAGAGAAATCTAGAACATTCACTTATCAACATTTTAAAATATTTTTCTGTATTACGAATGTGTTTTGGGATTCAGAAACTTTTGTATTACTGTTTTATTTGTTTATTGTATTAACAACAACAAAAATAAAAATAATATTTCACAAAACAAAGTTACATTTATTTTCAAAGATAATAAAAATTACATAAAATCAGGTGGTGTTAACAGGTGCATGTTTGGCGCCACAATTTGAATTATGCATTTAAGAACTTTTACTAATTAGTTACTGTTGTAAGGGATGCCGTGTCATTGGCACCAATCAGATTATCTCAAGCTCTGTACGATCCGTGGTAGAAACAATTCACTGGCTCTGATTCTTATCAGGTGAGCACGACGTCTTCTAGGGATCTTAAACAAATGGGATAGAAGAGTTTCAAAAAGCATCATGACAAAAAATTAAAGCCTGAGGACTACTCACGTATGGAGTTTTACGAAGGAACGCTTGAGAAAATCTAGGCTGATGGAGAGTTTTTGAGGAACATTTGTTTTTGTCTTAAGGGAAGATATAATCGTCAGAACGATCAAATTTGAGCAATACACAATCCTCACGTGGTCGATGACCATCGTTATCAATGGCGTGCAACTGTCAGTGTGTGACTGGGGCTTCTAAGACATCATGTCATTGCACCTTTTTTCATCGAATCTGGATTGAATGCTCAGAAGTAGGACAATATGCTAGATCAGCAAATACTTCCTAGGACTCGAAGGGACTCCCAGGACATGTCAGAATGCTGTCGATGAGGTTTACAGGAAGACCAGCTGCTCGAAGTCTTCATCTCGGGCTTTTTGGATACAGCCTGAGTGTAGTTCGAGATGAATCGTTTGACGGGGTCGCGCACTATGACGAATAATAAATGGAACAATTTGTGCATTTATTCCGTTTAATTTGTCCTACAATAATCATCACACCGGATAAAATAAATCAGTTTCAGTTGTTCGTTGATTTCTGAGAATAATTTCTAATTTCACTTTGACATTTGCATTTTGCATGGCTAATCTGAAGACGCGATCGCCGAACTTCGACCTTGCGACGGAACATTTCGCGACAACTCGGATCGGGCGCGAATTTCAAAATACGATTTTTAAAACCTTTTTACAGTAAATGAACGCGATGCAACGATTTGAAAAAAATACTGGCCGATAGCCCCCTTCGACCTCCACAAAGGCATCACTCAGTAATAGCTTTAAAGTGATCTGGGGAGATATTATAAAATAAAAACCAACTTGCCATGTTAATTCCCTATGTCCAGACTTGGATGCGGCACCCTGTATATAAAATTTAATTTAGCGGTTTTTCTTTTATGATAACTTCTATACATACAAAATTTGACAAGAATCGGTCCAGTAGTTTCGGAGATTATTTATCTAATAAAAATACGGAGAGACGGCAGGCAGATAGACAGACAGACGGAAACGAAAGACCCATTTTTCGTACTCTAGGGGTCATTACAAGAAAATATGAAAGTAGCCAGACGCCCGATCGACTCGATTACAGTACATACTTCCTTAGCTACGCTCGGGAAGTAAAAACGAAAAAAAGAGTATGTAAAACGATGATGATTCCAAGTTTATTTATTCATCCATTACCGAGGAAAACTATTAATTAATTAGGATACTGTTTCGAAAATAATCCTTTTATTTGTATACGTATAACAAATTTCATACCGTATAACTTTGATATTAATGTAATTAATTAAAGGAGCACAAAACACAACACATATTTAGAAAATTTTAATAAGCTAACAGCCCTCTCAGACTGCACTTTTTAACAAAAATTTGGTTTATAGTTATTTCGACAAAGTCGCATTTCTTACAGAAATGATAAGAGCTAATTCTACAAATTTTATTTTCTCCAAGGTCATTTTTACGAGATTGATAAGTTTTCGAGGTAATTACAGCTCTGTCTGTTTACTGCTAATCAGGTCGTATACTTGTTTAAAGTCCACAAAAAGAACATATAAAACGTTCTTGTACTCATAGCAGCTAAGCAGTACTTCTCTAGAGCACTTATTCTTTGTAACATGTTTCCAATAACGCCGTTTCTGTGAAGTTCACACATTGTAGCTTACCGCCTTTTTTTAGTATAGGTAGCCTTCAGGCATTCTTTCGGTTACCCATATCTTTTTGATAAGCTGGTGAATCCAACCTTTAACTGCTCCCCTCACCTTTTCCTCCTTTGTCCTTCTTATTTTTCCACGTATTTCTGTTTCTTATGTCTTATGTCATCGTTGATTTATATCACATCTTTGGTTCAATTCATTAGTAAATAATTTCATCGTTTCATCCATTCTTTATATTCTGGTCTTTTTTGAGAGGTTTTTTGTGGTTTTTTTTTTTTGCTTTTGTGGAAATTCTTCTCCTCTTCATCTTCTCGTTGTCGTCCCTTGACAGTGTCATCGGTCGTATAATCGTTACTATCCATTCTGTTTAAGTTAGGTATCAGTGTTATTATACGATTAACTCGGGTCCACCTCTCGGAAACCTTCTCGTCAATTTGTTAATCCTTTTACATTCAACTTTCCTACCCTTTTTGCTTTTATTTAGAATTTAGCAACTCTCTTGTTATCTCCAATCTATTCCATTTTATTTAGAAAATAGTATCAGGACTCATGAGGCATCTATCTTGATTTTCAAATTAAAACCAATGATTAATTTACAGTTTTCATAAGCACTTTAGCTGAATAGAGAATTCATTCATGTACAAATGCAAAAGCAAATGTCTCACAGTTTAATTAAAATATGCATCATTATTTATAACACAATTTTAACTTCCCTAATTATGAAACATAAAAACGTAAAAACCAACGGCACAACTCACTCTTAGCTGCAACTACTGCAACTGAAATCTTTACGTCTAACATTTATAACACACTCGGTTGTGATTAATCAGTACTCTCTCAGTTCTCGTATTGTTATTGTTATAACGCCACGTTTAGAACGACATCAGCGGTGTGCGCTTGTTATTTACGGGTTGCGGCAGTTATAAATAACAAAACACATTATTTTCTGATAACAAAAGACAGTATTGCATCGCTGCAATTTCTGTTAAAAAACCGGCACTAACGAGGAATATCTTTCTAGCAAAAAAGCTCAAAAGCATAAATTTATTGCTTGCCAGGTTTTTCCGCGGAACTTTTCGCTTATGAAGCATATTATCATAATGTTATTTTCTTAGCAAAGTTGTAATAAATGTGAATCGTCTTACGTTAATTTTAGTTGCATTATTCTGGCATTAGTTTTAAAAAATGTATAACAATAATCTTTATGTTTGCAAGAAGTATGTTACAAATGTATTTTCTCCTCAATAAATAAGCAATTACGAGGAAAAATATCCTCTGCGTAATTCGCCAGCATGCTGTATTGCGTTTTCCCTAGGGTGCAAAATGAAACCGTTAACGTTATCAAGAATTCATCTTCCACCAACGTTGTTATCATTAAGTAATGTAGTTGTGAATGTCTCGAATTAATATTTAGCTCTGCTGATTCGGCAATTTATTCATGATTCCAGGCACAACGTTGCACTGCGACAGTATGACGCAGTTGGTGTCGGGGACGGCGTCGCCTCTTCTTGGCTCGCACGAAGCGCTGGAATCAGAGATAAAGAGGCTGCGGGAGAGACTGCACACCGTGGAAACGGAGAACGCGGCGATGAGCGAAAAACTGAACCAACAGCAGTGGGAGCTGGAGAACCGGCTCGCCGAAATCGAGATGCAGATATGCGGCTCCAGGTCCACCAGCAGCCTGGAAGACAACGAAAGGAACAGGGAGAGCATCATTTAACAACAAAATGCGCTGCCTTACCACATACTGAGAACGCCAGCGTACGCGTTCGTTCAATATATTGTGTAACGGCGGCATCCCACTTGACATTTAAAAACGATTTTTAGTGAAATTTTTACTGTTGCCAAATTGTTGGTGGACGTTCACGAAATAACTGCCAGAAATTTATGTAAATTTTCCCTAAGTTTAGTGTACACACCACCCTGTGAGTGAAACATATGTGTTATATTTGTCATGGTGCTTCGATCGATATTCGATAAATGCGTCAGTCGACGGTGCGTTTCTATACATAATTAAATGGTGTAAAAGTTTTCAGAGGAACACGTTATTACATCGGTCCACATCGCGTAGAACAAAAGTATGGCCTGCCTTTTGTTTTTTATCTGTATTAACTATGTATGATTTTTTATAGCAAATAGCAATATCTGTATTTACACTCGAACTCTATTTTCGCGACCGGATTGGAACCGTTCCTTTATTGCAATCTACCTACAGTTAAAATATACAATATTTTATCTCAGTCTGTAAACAATGCTACGAGGGACACCCAGAAAGACTGAAAACTAATGTCACTACAAAGTTTCATTTGTCTGAGTTTCCAGTTACGTTTGCTTAAAAAAACAAGATTTCTAAGAAATGAATTTAAACAACAAAGAAATTTTATAAAATGTCTTTGTTATCAATTTCATTACATTAAAAACCCAATAAGAATTATCTGGCCAAATTAGTGTTGTCATCAGAAATGAAGATGTAATCAAGTATTAGCAAACGAAGATGTCTGTTTACAGATACAGTACTTTTAAATATACCAGGTGTCAAAAAAAGTGAATTATTTCGTGAATACCTAGTTGCTCTGAATTACTGGTCTATTGTTTATTTCGGTCTAAAAAACGGCTACCAAAAAAAACCGTAAGAAATTTTATATTTTTTTTTTAAATAATACAGTAAAACTAATTTTGCAATGAAAACTTTAGAACTTTAATACTCTTTCACGAAAGTGGGGCCCCTACTATTGATGAGTAAGTTTCTAGTTTCTTTCTTGGGTTTTCTGCGAATTTAGCCATCTTATTTTTTCTACTTTGTAATATGTAGATATTATAAATTTCAATGATACGTAGGCAGTCAAAAAGAAATATCTGCGAATAATTTATGAACTCTCTAAAAGTTTGTTTGTTGAATAAACACAAAAGAAACACTTTACTTTCACAACCACTTTTAAATTCTTGTGTCAAAGAAAATAGTTCTCTATTCTTATATTCCACAAGTTTTCATTACCTAAAGATAAAGATTTGTTGGAATATTTCCAGAACCTTTCCAAAGGAAGTAACCACCTTAGCAAACTGTCACAGAGAAATAACTGTATAAAACTGCAATTTTGCCAATATTAAACTCATTTTAAGGTATTAATTAACCCACTGATTTCATATTGTTTCCAATTTATCTCCAGTAACGTCACTCTCTTTCCTAAATATCCTTTATATTCTATAGTGGCAACTTTCCAACTGACGCCGAAAAATATAGGACGTTTTTTCTTAAAACCACTAAAAACCGATTTTGTAACCTTATTAAACTGTAACTCCACATTAATGGATAAAAAATCTTGTTTTTGTTGCCTCGTGGGTATATTACTTTCTACATCCCAAATGTGCTGCTTACTACTTTGTGAGAACTTACAGCCACTTTTTTTTTGCAAGTGCTACGGAATACTAAAAAATATATAAAAATACTGTATAGCGCAAACGTATTCTTTAAATTGTTTTAATAAAATGAACGCAGTTTATTACAGAAAAGTATGTAGGAACACAGTATATTACTTCCTCGTAATATTTAACATCGACAAAAACCCGCCCTTCTCACACGTGAAAATAATTCAAAATCGCCTTCTTAAAAATTTTACCCGTCCATGCATTAAAACGAAATTGTAGCATACCTTGTACACCACACAAAACTACCGAATTATTCAACACTGACGTCAAAAATCCCCGTTAAAGGAATTTTAAAACCTTCTTAAAAATTTTAATCGTTTATGCATTAAACCGTCTAAATTAACTTCCGCAGAAGACGCTGTAAAAGAGAATATTGTCCCGAGATAATTTTTATTAAGAAGTCAGCTTCTAATATTATAACACATTAAATCCGCCATTCAGTTCCCTACCATCATTATGGACTCTAATAATAATTCTCTCCCCAGATAATGGTTAATCCAATTAAATTGAAATTAATCATCGCCATTACATGGCTTCAGGCGGGAAACTTAATTTAATTTTGGTTCTTCTAAATATGCCGAACTTTTCCGTCTACATATTTATTATAAGCTGAAATATCTTTACGAAAACCGTTTATCTATGTGCTGAATAATATAAAAAGGGATCATGTGTTTTGACCCGTTATTTCTAAATTACTTTCAAGATTCAAAACGAAAAAAATTACCTACCAACCGAGAAAAAGCATACGAAAAAGTATAATTTACATTATTCAGTCTTTAAAGTCGGTGAGAATTGGAATTGGAATTTAGGAACTTCGTAAAATACTACTTGGATTTCGTTGAAGACAACTTTCTTTTTAAATGGATCTATATTTTACTTTTTAGTTCGTGGCTGCTAAAAATATAACAAAAATATGTAAAAAGTCACTTACATGGATCAAAAAAGTCGACCCAAACTTAAACAACAAGGAACAGGTTTCGATAAATTTATATTTGCATAATTTAAAAATGACCTACGTTTCAATTTTTTTTATTAATATCTCTTTTACCTTGCTTAAAGATAAAATCGCAATTATTCTGTTAAACTAAACAAAGATGTTTCAATACAACAATAATATTTAAATCTTAGTTAAAATTATTGTGTGACAAGCCATACCTACAACACATAATAATACAAAATTGATTAACACAACTAACAATAATTAAAACAACAACAAAAATAATCAATAACTTTATTGTAGACCAACTGCTTCTACTGCGATGTGACCAGGTTCGATGTAAATTGTTGGAAGTATATATATAGCGTGCTCCTCTGATAATCATTGTGTACTTTACACAAACATGGTACTATGACCTTAATCAATTTTAATTATAATAATTATTACAAAGACTATAATGAATTAATTCAGTTATGATGAATGAGATCTAAACGGGATGCATGTAAAAAAGAAAATTATGAAATGGCATAACGATTTTGATTTCGTATGCCAGTTTCACAAGGGCGGCCCGAGTGCAGGGACCAAACTTATCCTAAGTTATGATGCGCATCTGAATCTTTGATTCTTTCTGATCTGCAATTAATTTCAAACAATTGCTTATGTGACGTAGTACTGAATGTTAAACAATGCTTCTTTTGTAAATCCTACTTCAACACTGTACTTTTGCACCAACATTTCAAAATGAGCCCTATTTGTTAAATGCTAATGTAAGACGTAAAACACAACGATGACCCCGAATGTAAATTCAATGAAATCAATGTTTAAATATTGTCCAAAGCCATTAAAGGTTCTTAACTTTTACTCTGGCTTGTTTAAACGGTTATCAACACAAAAAAATTGTGTTACGATTTATCGTTTTTTTTTTTTCAAAATTTCTGAAGAACTGTTCCCTAACAATATAAACTTGAACCAACAATAGACATTTATTTTCTAAATGGCTGGTAATTATTTTCACAACAAACCTCCAGGATAATACTTAAAATGTGTGAATTTAAATTGCGTACTACATCGACCTCGTTTCAGACCTTCTGGGTGTGTTGCATATTTATTTACACCAATTTCTGTAAATAAAAAGCTTGTATATTCGAAATACAACTGTTTAAAACATGAGTTTATAAATTTATGAAATTCCCTAATCAACTAGATAGTTTGAAGCACTTAATTATAACTGTAATCCAATACTTAAAAAAATTGGTACTTTATTATGTCTTTAAATAACTACATACTTATAAACAAGTAATAAGCACATTCGAATTAATTTGTAACATAAAATAGATAATCGTAACTGTGACAAATATACTAAAGATTAAAGTGCCTAAAATAAAAAAAATAAGTACTAGATTTGTAATAACCAAAGTAGAATAATAATTTTTTTGTTTTTCAAATATGTGACGAAATAATATAACACAAGTAAAAACAAAAATACATCTGGAACAAAAGACACGGTGCATAAAACGTTTTCGTTCTGTACTACGCATGTTAAGCTTAAAGAGCTTGACATATTTTCCGAAAGCATCAAGGACGTTTGCGACGCTCTAAAGTGAAAGTATTACTGCCATGTTTATCACATTATCACCTTTTATCTCGTCCTAGTCCATAGTTTTAGCTAATTAGTCTTTTTTAGAGCAGTCTTTTAGATGCAGTAGATTCTTTCAAAGTTTGCTTCATCTGTTGACATTTCCGTATAGATGCTGAACTCAAAAAAAAGTAAAACCCACCATCAGTGAGACCAAATACTTTAAGATATTTTACCTGTACATTATTGCTTACGGATAGTATTCGAATTAAGAATTTATACACCTTTTGTTGATAAAATCAATTTCCATACAAAAATATTGTATTATTTAATAATTGGTATAGAAGCAAATTTTACGAATATATAAATATGTTATTAAAATATTTGTTGCTATATTGTTATATAGGTATATTTATAATTATTCCATCGTGTTTATTACATGTACTTTTGTTTATTTGTAACATCAACGCGAATCTTATGATAGAGAAAAAACATGTTTGCCAATTTCATATCACAGTCCTTATTTTTAAATTATTTGTTAAGCAGTGCCAAAGGTAGCACAGTAAACATTACGATTTTACCTCCGTAGCTAAACCCATTATTCGATTTTCTCGAACGATTTCATTGTTATACCCAATTATTGATATGAATCCCATTAATAAAAATTTTTAATTCTAGTTTCTCGTTTTCTATCAACTGCCAATTTATGAACATTAAAGTGACAATTTTTCTCCCTTTTCCTACTTGTAGCTACTTACGGGAAACGATTACGATAACAAGAATTCTAATTTATTCCAACACCAATATCGATTTATAAAGAACGTCTTTGCTAAATAGGAAACTCAAAGTTTTGTAAAAACTAAAGTAGTTACATCAACAATTGTAAAATATGTATTTTGCATTTATGTGGCTGATATACTATCACTAGATCATCACATATTAAAATTAACTTTATTAGAAAAGAAAACTTTTAAGAGTTTAAAATATTTATATACACTGCATTACACAGTTTTTCTTTTCTAATAAAGTTAAAATGGAGTTTATACAAGTAACTCTTATTATAACTTCATGCATCTCACCAAAATGGGCACCCGTGTACTAAGTCAAAACTTAATCTAAGTCCCAAGTGGAAGAAAGTTCTTAGATGGTGAAACTAAATGGAAGAATGTATGTCACGAATGCCCATGGTGAGGCAACCAATATTTAACATATTTCAGGTATTCTGTTTTAATTCTTCTATAAGCCGAAACAACTATGTCTTTTCACATATACAGGTGAGTCAGTAAGTGCATGGTCCTTGATATTTCATTAATTATTATAAATAGGAAAAAAGAGTCATAGAATAAAATTGTGTAATTTTTTGTCTAGCGTACACTATAGTTATTTATGCAACAAGTGCAAAAAGTGACTGATTCTTGCACGCGACGTAATAATAATATTTTTCTACAATCGTGTAAAAAATGACTCATATGTCAATGGTTTAGAGTGCAAAAAGTGGCACTTTCTTGCACTAGTGGAAGAAAATTTTTATTGCACTCTAATGTCAATCTAATCAACGTCAAATTTGATGTATATCCATATTTTCTTTCACCGAAAGGGAAGCACGTATCATGGAATATTCGGACTAGAGGGTAGAAGACTTTACCTTCATTGACCGATTGGAAAAATAAGCCAGAAGCACGGTTTCTGTTAACTGCACAAGTTTTTTTGTCCGCACACCATTCTTTGAACCGGTTGTATGTCAGATCATATTGTTTTGTGGGATTTCTCGGGTAATAAATTAAATATTGCCGCATTGGCCATCTCGGTAATTTCATTTTCGATCGAATCGCTCATTTTGGGGTCAACTCACTCACTACTTATTTATGCCGTTTTATTTTATTTTGCAAATTGTTTTTTTTTTGGAAACATTGTTTGGTTGTCATAGTAGTCATGACTAACTAACATAAGACAGCATGTTGATACCTTTTGATTATTGTAGAATTTTATTTAAGTCTCCAGTGGGTATAATGCACCAGTTTTATTAAGTGGTGCATTATACCCACGATTGTAGAAAAAATGTTGTATGCAACACGTGCAAAAGTGTGCTTGCACTTGACGTATTGTCCAACTCGACCTTCGGTCTCGTCGGACAATTATTACGTGCAAGAATCAGTCACTTTTTGCACTTGTTGCATAAATAACTATTTCGACTCTACAAAGTCTTTTGCTTTTGAGGCAAAACACAAAACTTAGTTTTTTTTTTTTAATACAGAATAAAACACCCCATATATGTTTACATATTGCCATTAGCGCCTCTTCCTAGGTTTTATAACCATAATTTATTTTTGAAATTCTGATTCGGCATTGCAACATTATTCCAGTTTTCTTAGATTTCAATGCAAGGCTTCACAGATAAAAACGCAATAATGCTATTTTTAAGACATGCAATATTTTATGGAGATATTAATAAAGATTTCAATTAAATCAAATTGTAGCATACAGAATGTTTAAACAAACTTTAAAACTTACAATTTTTAGATTATGTTATTTCAGTTTTTTCAAACATAGTACTCTGTATTTTATTCTTACTGGATCTTACTCTATTTTTAGTTCTCTTTCTTTCAATATGTTGGTATGTCTCTTAAACAAGTAAAAACTGGCAATAACCAATAAGCTTTATGTATAGAAAATACTTAACAAAAAAGAAAAAGAACAAAAATTATAATAAGGTGCAGCAATAAAATACAGATGTTCTATATAAAAAAACTGAAATATCGGTACATGAAAATTGTAATATATTTTTTATAAATACTGTGTACATTAAGACTCAATTTTATGTGTATTATAAATAATGTAACACGGATTAAAAAAAATGCGATTTTTTGTGAAAAATTTCAAGAAGATTGGAATATCGTAACAATGTCGTATCAGAATTTCAAAAACAAACTATGATGATAAAGCGCAAGAAGAAGTTATTCAATCAAAATATGTAAAAATATATAGGGCATTCAACTGAAAATAACAAGTTGTCTGTTACGTCTTAAAAAGAGAACACTCTGTATAGTTGAAAACAATTTTAGGGCCTGGTGCTCAAAGGGCCATATCATTTTTTTTTCTGTTTCAAATTAATGAGATATGTATAATGTTCTATATTACTAAATACTCTCTCAACAAATAAAAACAAAGGAAATTTTGGAAAAACTTATTATATTTTAGTAGTGGCGTCGTTATTTGATCAGTTTTAATTTTAATACAATTACGTAATATAGCACTATCATAATGTTCCTCTGTTCCGCAAATTCCAGGAAATTAATTGAGTCATTTTGAAATACTTAATCGAAAGATTAGGTGGATTCTTTCTGAGGAAAGTGAAAACACATACCGGTTCACACATTTATTATTTTTGGACCCTATCCGCATTTCTGCAAATGTTTTTGAATAAACATTTCTTTAATACTTTTTTCATATGACGTCATCAATTTTTTTAAAGGAAATGGATACTTTTTTATTCTTTTTCCATATCTTTTATTGCTGAGTTATAACAATGAATTCATTTTTAGTCCTTAGACACGATCTAAAAATTCGAAGAATCCTCGTAAAAACGAGGGCAAAGCGACTTCGAAGTTGTCATTTCTAGTAGTTTTTAATCATCATGATGTTATGATAGAAGAGGGACGTTTATAGGAAATATTCAAAGTCTCGATCTCTCTCATCACTAAGCAGTAAACTAAAATATGGTCAAATATCTAAAAATAAACCTTGAAGGGCTACGTCTTCTACATTTAGGCTCGAGGACAGCACGATTCACCAAAGCAGTTGCTTTGGTTTAGTAGTCAAATTTGTGTGTTAATGAATAATGACATATTATGTAGAAAAATTGTACGTCAAAAATTAAATTAAGTTAAAAAATGTAATTTATGAAAAACGTTGAAGAAATGACGTAGCAGCGGCCAATTTGTATGCTCAGCCGGGACCACGGTTGTAGAATAGATAGATACTAGATAGACACTAGCATACATTTGCATATCCCTGGTCAGCGACGCCAATTGCCGATCGCGTCGCCTGGTTTTTGACGTTTTAGGGACACAGAACTCTATAGGCATCTGTCTATAACCGATGTAATTAATAAAAGAAATCGTACTTATCGACTCCGATCAAATGTCATTTACAAATTTTGCATTGTTCATAAAGCAATGTAAACGAAAATCCCCAAAATAACTAGAATGATTTCCGCTCGACAAGGTAGAGGCGCTAGCTGTATGTGTCCTTTCCATAGATATAGGGATCGAAAAGAAGCGTCGCCATCCCAAGCCATTAGTGTACAAACCTATCTATTCTACAACCGTGGCCGGGACTTACGTCAGTTATAATAATTGACGTAAGCCCCAACTCGGCACTACCCCCACAGAAGAAATACTACGGATAAATTTTTTCGAGTATCTACTCGAGATAATAATAGGAGAAAAATGGCATAACAGTCTAGAAAAAGACCTAAAACAGTAATAAATGAAGAAAAACAATCTCAGTTAAGAAAATCCTCACCCAAGTCAAAGAGTTTTATTACGACAAATTGGCATAAAGACAGGCATCAGTTTGTATAACTATGAAAACAAATCAATTTCATCCCTATCACGTTACACTGGTGCAAGATCTTAAGAGGAAGTTCTTCATTGGCGTATTCGGAGTCCTAATTTAACACCATTGGATTTTCTTTTGTGGGGAATAAACAAAAACGAATAGGTACGTAAAGTCGCGATCTTTTCTATAGAACCACTCCCTAGTGTAAATTTTCAAAATTTGTTTGGTGTAAGTGACCTTGACGGGTTTCTGGGGGAAAAGATATGTGTCAAAAATTTGACAGGTTAGATGGCCCCATTGTCAATGTAGATATTTTATTTTAATAAACAGATGAACAGAACATACAGTCTGCACGGGATAGAGTGCGGCATATCTGAGGGCAACCGAAACATTCGTGTTGTGCTAGTTTCGATTGCCATATCAACTACCGCTACCAACCGCGTTCGGCGTAAAGTACTAGATGACAGGGCTACCAACTTGACTTTTTATCGAGTGGTTCCGTAGAAATGACCGCTACTGTACTTATACAAAACGCTGATTCGTACTAGAGAAGATCTAACAGAAAGAATTATAACTGTCTCCAATTCGGTAACTCCAGAAATTTTTTTAGTAAATCAAAGTAGACATTTTGAACATTTTGCATTAGTTTTATTTTATATTAATAAACTTTGTGACAGTTTTCATTTTCTATAACCTACGTATTTCAGATGTTAAATCTGACGACGGTAGTAGACAGGTGTGAAAACTAAATATATATCTAGTGACTTTAATTTTAACCAATTAACTTTACAAGAACTAAGAACAGAAGGCGTAAAATTCATTAAAAACCATAGTTGCATTGAAGACATTTACAAAGTTCAATAGTACCTAAATAAGTGTTCTGTGAGTTCAACTGCAAATTAGTTTTTTCAATGCCCGTCAATTTTTTTGTTTGTTTATTTTTTGAAACCGAAGGACACGTGACAACCGTCAAGTGTAAATGCACCTTTACAAAAATGCGTATATTGACAACTATGACAAGTTTCACAATTTGACATCAAAACAACATAACCAAAACCTGAGCAAACATAACCTCTGTAAATGTAAAATCAAAGATATTAGAAATAAAAAGTCTTTATTAAAATGTAAGTAAAGATAGGTAGTAAAAACAAAACCTTGAAAAATAAATAATATTAAAGACATCATGTTTAAACTGGGACAAAATTTGTTATACAAAAAGTGTGCAACTGACTTAAAAATCACGAGAAGATTCGTTGGAAATTTTGAAACAAATTATCATCTATTTACCAAATATTTTGGTGAGTTTGAAAAAATAAAGTAATTGAACTGTTACTTCTACTTTAAGGCTTAAATCAGAATAGAGCAAAAGAATTTATAGAACGGCAAAAGCTAAGTGAGAAACCAACGGAGACAATTGTCAAAGTGGTCGATTTTTGCGAAAAACTTGGTTTTAGTAAAAAAGAAATTTTAAAAAACCCGTCTATTCTTAGAGCACATCCGTCTACATTAGATCAATATTACAACGTCATGATCGAAGGAGGATTTAAAGTCATTACTATTAAAGGCTTATCAAAGTATGTACGTTTCTGTGGTTTTTGGACTGTTCTGAAAAGCATAGTTTTTGAAGGTTTCGCTCCCTTTCTCAAAAAGATGTTCGTACACTAAAAATGCATGGTTTTATAGACCACAACACAAATGTTACAAAAAGTTTTATGGCCCATTTAAATCCTCGTGCAGAAAATCTTGTAATTAATCATGACGATTCTGTAGAGTTGTGGTGTCATGTTCATTTAAAAGTGTTAAGTCATTATTTAAGTAGGTATAAACTACTGTAGCTGTTGTTTATTAAATACCCTGTTGTAGAGTGGCGGTTACAAGTAACTGACGAGGAAATTCTTAGGTTCATTAAAATTCACCCCCAAATCAAACGAAAAAGTTTAAAGTATGTTTGCGACAATATTAATCAAGCAGAGGAATTAGGATTTCCACTTGCAAAGATATTAAAATATGGATATATATTACATACCCATCCAAAAAATTTTAAAGAAATTTTAGAAAAATTTCCAGTATTGGCAGGTGTATCTACTAAGAAAGCAGTAAGGATGTATCCAAAACTACTGACGACAACGGCTTCAAGCGTTCAGAAAATACATGACACATTGAAGGTATAAAACGAAATAAGATTGTATGTATTTGAGGGAGATTATCAAGATGAAAAGTCCAGTCTTTACTAAACATTATTTTGTAGAAACACAATATTCGTGATGAAGCAATAGCGAGACGACTGAATATATTCTATCTTTCTCCAGAGACTGTAGAATTCCGTTTGAATGAACTACAAAGAGTGGCTGACTTTAAAGTGCTGTTGTACAATCCAAATATTCTCAAACTTGTTGTACATCATAATCGTGCAAAATCTCGTTTGACATTTTTGAAAGAATTGCAGTTAAAATGTGCAACAGTAAGTGTCCTTGGTAAGTGTGAAAAAATGTACCAGTAAAAAAGTCATGCAGTATGCTTCTGTATTGTGTAATTTTATTGTTTAAACAGGAATTGACAACATTAAATTTGATGATCATATTAGAGAAGGAAGAGATGAGAATAGTTTCACTGATACCTATTCCTTTTTAAAAGGCATCTTTAAGAAAGATATTGAAGATTTTGAATTTACATTAAAAAAACATCCTTACTACCTGCAGGTGCCTTTAACTGCAATGGAAGATACTTTCCACTACTTAGAGAGTGAAAAGTTTTCAAATAATTCTATCTTTAGCGTAATATGCATTTTACTCTATCCAAAGTAAGTTTTTCTTTTGTCTAGTGAAAACGACTTAAATTATACGATTTCAGGGAAAAGATAAAAAAATCATTTAAACAAATTAGACAATATGAATTACAAACTAAGAAAAAATTAACTCAAGTAAATAAATTGAATTTAGCTCTATATTTTATTGAAAAAGAACACCACTTCAGTGGGGATGGTGTCTGGACCAAAAATGAAGTAGTGGAGGAAAGTGTACATACTTCTTGATTGTAAATTATGGACCAAGTGTACTGTGATAACCAGGTATGTTGTATTTTAAATAACGTCCAGGAAGGTAATGAAAACAATATTTTACAACAGCAATGTATTCAGATAAATAAATAAGTTTAATGTAAGAAATACAAAAATATTAAAGTATAATTTTATAAGCTTTACATAGATTGATAAACCCTGACTCAATTTCTCACTAAATTTCATTAGGCAACTTCGTATTTTTTTTATGTCTGTTGTAGTTTATTAAAACTTTCTTTGGCAACATTGTACAATGTTTCGGACATAGCTTTTCCCGTTTGTTGTACCATACCATAGAGAATACCATCTGTATCTTGCAACAAATTATAAGCATGGCCAAACTCTTTCATAGTACCAGCATCCATAACCAATATTTTATCAGAGTCCATAACTGTGTGCAATCTGTGCGCAATCGTAAGTACAGTACAATCCGAAAACTTATTCCTAATCGTGGTTTGAATAAGAGCATCTGTTTGAGGATCAATATTTGCTGTAGCTTCATCCAAAACAAGAATCTTATTGTTGCGCAATATAGCTCTTGCCAAACAAACGAGTTGTCTTTGACCCACACTAAAGTTAGATCCACCTTCTGACATTTTCGAATTTAAACCAGCTGCTAAATCTGCCACAGCATCTTTCAACTCTACATCTTCCAAAGCCTTCCATAAATCTGCATCAGAATAGTCATCAAATGGATCTAGATTTTTCCTCATTGTTCCAGAGAAAAGTACAGGTTCTTGGGGAATGATAGAAATATTTGACCTCAAATCATGTAATCCTATTTCAGTGATATTTATTCCATCAATTAAAATAGCTCCATCTGTTTCCGTCAGTTGGAAAATGGCATTGATTAAGGATGACTTTCCAGCTCCAGTGCGGCCGACAATACCAACTTTCTCTTGTGGTAGGATAGTAAAACTTAAATTTTTCAAAACGGGTGGATCTTGGAGAAAGTAACGCAAAAATATGTTAACGAATTCGATTTTGCCTTCGCTCGGCCAGGAAGGAGGCGGTTTCTTGTCAGGAATCGACTCCAAACTGCCTTCGTGTTCTATGTTGTTGTATTCTAACACTCTTTCGACTGAAGTCATTTGATTTTCAAGTTCTGTAGACTGACGCATACCCCATTGGAACATTCCGGTTAAACCGATAGCTTGGGTGATGGCAAGACCCACATTTCCTCCAAATTGTTCTGAAAAACACATTACAGTCGCCACTTTACAAAATTATAAACTTACCATTTCCTATCACCAAAAAACTGAAAGTCACCAATGTTATGTAAATCATGCAAACGATATCCAGAGAATATCCAAAGGCTCTTGACGTAGAAATGAAACTAAACCAAGCAGAACTGTGTAAGTCTTGATGATTGTCAAACTCTTTTTCTAAAATTTCCTCAGCACCAAAGGCCCTGATGGTTGTTAGTCCTTGCAACGAAGCGTTTAAATGTGAAAAAACGGGACTTCTGGCTGTAAATTGAAAAGTTTAATCACAGAGATCTGGTCGGACTTAAAACACTTACTAATTCCTTCCAGTCTTTTAACGTTCCTGCTAGTGCGTATATAAAAGATTCTCAAAAAATAAAATATGATTCCAGCAATTACTGTCGGTATCATTAACCACGGACTAACTATAGCTACAACAATTATAATTCCAAGAAGTGCAAGGCCAATTTGTAAACAGTCTATCATTGCTGAAGTTAAAAGTTCGTCAATCGAACCCATGTCTTTTGAAAATCGATTAAGAATTCTTCCTGCACTATTCGTGTTGAAAAATCTCATTGTGGCACGAGTTATACTCGCAAACATATTGTCATGCAGTCTTGTGGATGCTCTCATACAAACAGAGAAGAACGTAATAGACCGTACTAGTGTTATTATAATCAGTGCGCCTATAATAACGGAATAAATAATAATAGACGTCTGACGTGAAAAATGCCAAAAATCAGTATCGGTATCGTTGGCTCGCACAGTGACGTCAAGTTTTGTAAAATTCATTACGTCCGAATCTAAAAGAGTTGTTTGTTCCATTTGAGCATTTTCCGCGTCTTCTTGTTCCAAATTCACCCTAAATGAGTTTGCAGTTAAATCAGAAACATAATTTAAAAACTGACTTACCAATATGTAATGAAGTAATCTGACAAGCTTGCAAAAATCTGAGTCAGAATGAATAAGGCAAATAGGATAAAAATAACACAGCAATTTCCTCCAGCTTTAAAGTAACCGAAATACACGTGAGCTCCCACAGATCCACTACTTCTCTGTTCTTCTACTTGTTTCGGGGCTTCCCCTTCCACCGACTCGATACTCCTAATCGATCCTTGCCTAATTAATTCTTCTTGCTTTTTCTCTTCTTCATCTTCTTGAGAAGTTTCTCCAAGTAATTTAGTGAAATCTAAACCTGATGCCTGCAGTTCTTTAAAGCTACCTTGAGCCTTTGCGCTTCCATTATCTAAGTACATAATATGGTCTACTTCTTTCAAATATTGAAGTTGATGAGTAATTAAAATGACGGTTTTGTTTTTCAAGTATCCAGCAATACAGTTTTCAAATAATTGTTTTCCAACGTGAGTATCAACAGCAGATAATGGATCGTCTAATAAGTAAATATCTGCTTGTTTATAGACCGCTCTCGCAAGATTAATTCTAGCTCTTTGTCCTCCACTAAGAGAGACTCCTCTGTCACCCACAATTGTTTTATCTCCATAAGGCAACAAAGTGAAATCCCGTTCTAAAGCACATTTCTTTATCACAGTTTTATATCTCATTTTATCCATGGGGCGACCAAACAAAATGTTCTGTCTGACAGTTCCGGCAAAGAGCCAAGGCTCTTGCGAAGCATAGCTGATAGTACCGTTTACGCTAAGGCTACCTTCGGATAAAGTCAGCTCTTTTAAAATAGCATGAAATAAACTACTCTTTCCGCTTCCAACGGGTCCGATTACAGCTACCAGTTTTCCAGGGGTAGCTGTCAAATCAATGTTATTCAAAGTATTTTCAGTCGACCCTTCGCTCCATTTTGCAGTTGCTTTTTTCATGAATATCCCGATCTCACCAACCGGGGTTGTGCTTATTCCATTAGTAATCGTGTTGTCACCTTTTTTTGATTTTTCTTGTTGATCTTTTTTCAGTTCTTTTGCTATCTGCGTTTCATCATAAAGCATAAATTTGTTCAGGCGACCTATCGAGACTCTCGCTTCTGCGATTTGAGCAATCCCTTGTGGGAAAAATACCGTCATTGTTTGCCGTAAAATATTGTAAAATGATGTCAAAACAAACACTTTCTCTGCGGTAATTCCATAGCCGAAAAGTACATACGCTAAGATGCTTGCAAAAACTGACATTCTGGTGGTAAACATAATGAAGGAGAGAGTAATACCGCGCATGTAAGAGGATATTCGAATGGATTTAATTTCGTATCTGAAAAGTATAAACCGTTAGGTGCAAATTATATGAAACAACACGATGGGGAATTACCGTCTGGCAAGTGACACTAGCTTAGCGAATGGTTTTTCCCACGCATACATCTTAATAACCTGAATCCCGGATATGATTTCGTTCATCAGTCTAACTCTCTCATCGGTCCTTAAGGCAGTTCGTAGGCGAAAAACGGAAATCGTTTTCCCCAAAAATACTGAAAAAGTAGTGATTTAATGTTAGATTTACAGATAGATTCTTTTATTTTTTGTCGTTTTGTTGTCGTTTTTCTATTGTACATAAATACTTTCTGTAACTGATCATCATGGCCAGAAAATAAAGTGAATCTGAATAATGCCCACAATTTATGTTTTGTTTAATTAGATAATTTAAAATCACAAAATTTGAGTTTTTATCAAAAAATTGATAAAAAATATCCCCGGACAGTGAAAACCGCATTTCTTTAGCACCTTTCGCGCTAAGTAGTAAAAGATCAATGTATGACGTCATACCAACTTTCAACTTATCTCGAATTTAATTAACATTTAAAATCTATAAAACAATTCGCAGATTTTAAAATTTACAGTTTCCAGTTAAGTTGTTTTTTATTTTCGTTTCTTTGTTAAGGATCCGCTTTTTATTTTTTTATCCTACCCGCTTTTGAGAATATGTCAACATAAGTAGACCTTCAACGTCTACCAACCCATACACCATAAATGATAAATGAGTAGTGAAAACAATAAATGCGTTTGCACATCTCACTACAAATATCGTGTTGCATTGAGAAAATCTTGGAAAATAATGGTCCAAAATGGTAGAAAGAAAATTAAAAAAAAAATACGCTCTAATATTTATAGAGATTCTTCAATAAATTTTATTTTGCAAAATTTTGCACTTGAAAACGGCAAAAAAAAACAAGTACAAAAATACAATATTGCACAAATTTTTTCATTTTGAACAATTTATCTTAATCAAATTTCATCGCCGAAAATTTAGAACTCGTCTATAAAAACAATAACACTTAAAATGAGACACTCAATACACAATGCGCACTACGATTGCAACATCTTATAACGTTACATGAATTAGCACCCAAAAGATAAGTACCTGACTCAATTTTTGTATAAAAAAATTTAACATATGAAGAAATCTCCAATTTACTGTTTTTTTAGTATTTCACAGCTCATGGAACACTCATTTCCACCTGTTACTTATTGTATTGGAAATTTTATTACATGAACAACGTACGAAACTTCTGAACTAATCGAGTCCATCGAACGAATCACTCCATTTTCTCTAAAAGGTGAGATAACACGTCTTTATTTAATAAGAATAATAATAATAATATTCAGAACATTCTGTTCGACTGTGGCATAATTAATAATTTTAGTCGTCTGTTTTGAAACAACAAACTCATTCAAATCAAACAAATTTCTACGGGACATTCTTCCGATGTATAAACAAGTTGAAGTTAAAGCTTGTTATTATTCCCGTTGGTTGTCTGCTTTAAATATATTTACATTGCCCGTACTTGTGCAATTTGCACAATTGGGGCTGCGGGGGTGTTATTTATACCGCTGGCTTTTACGTTATAGAAGTTAATACAAAACAAACATCGCAAATCTAATTTGATTATTTTTCAAAGAAGCGGGATTTGGTGGTATTACGCTTCAGGAGCGAGGGAAGTTCTGCCTAAATAAACCTCGACCAATTTTTCCATTCTTAAAATTGTTACGAAAATGATAAAACCCTAACAAAAATTGTCTCTAAAGTCTTTAAAATCACGTCAACAACTTTTTGGTGGGGATCCGATACTGACATAATCACGTATTGTGTCAATCCTTCTAAAAAATAAACGAATATGCCTAAAATACTAACAAAGGTACACCAAAACACATTTTCGATAAAAAATATTTCTTAATACAATGCTATCAATTTTTTTATGGTGAGGGGACACAATACTTTTCAGATATAAATTTTAACATTAGCTTTAAGTGTTCTTAGAATCCCAGAGAACTACAGGAACCGTTTGCGATTTTTTCCCGCCTAGTTTATCTTAAGAAAACGTTGCTTCGCTTATTTTTAGAAAACACATCTGAAGATGAATAAGTAAACTTTAACGAACTAGAATCTACACATTCTAGATAAATAATTGTAAAATTTTGGTATACAAATCTAACTATTTTTAGAATAACCGAAAATGACTTTGCAAAACTATATATAATGACCTCACTATTTTTTTGGAGGGTTTAAGGAACAAGTTATTTGTTAGTATTTTACCATCTTTCTAATACTGTTAAGGTACCATGAAATTAAACAATCAAACAAAACTCTCGGGCATTATTTAAATTTACTTCAACTTGACCTCCTCCCTTCGTAATGACCCTATAATAATACAGTCACGGTATTCAAAATTACTACTCTGTGCTCAGAAACAATCGTGCAGAAGCATGTACATATCACAATTCTGAAGGAATTTCAGCTAAACCACGACTGTTATCTTGACGTGACAACATCAAGTTCCTGTTACGTGACTCAGTACACTTTCATCACGAACATTATGCTACGATCCAAGCTGTTATTTGTTGTAATTATCGACTTACTTTGTAAAGGTATGAACATGAGAAGGAACCCAACACCGATAACGGCAGAATATCCAACTTGTAAGTACATTAAATAAGTACACACGACGGTTTCAACTGGTCCTACCCACAACTGGTGAGCAAAGATTAAAGCTACATCAAATCTATTGACGTCGTTGGACAATAAATTAACAACTTGACCAGCGGTTGTATGTCCCAATGCGGTTTTGCTTAATTTCAAAGATTTTCGGTAGATAAGTGAACAACATCCTATTCTCATCTTCATTCCGAGGTGTTGTACACCCATCATGTAAGGATGGGTAAAAGCTATATTCACCAAGGAACATAAAACGACTCCGGCAGCATACCAGTAGGCATCAGTTTGTGAAATTTCGGTATTGCCTGGTTGGTAAAATTTAAGTAATTGTCCTAGAGCTAACGGCTGAGCAACTCTGGAAAAACAAAAGAAAAAACTTGTTAGCTGCATTGTTTTTAAAGTTTGATTTTTTAAAACATGCAAGGAACTATGTACAAATAACGGAGATTCGGGTGCTAAAATAAAGCAATACTTCGTGCCAAAACTAAAAATATATATACAAAAAAAATAAAAAGGGTGCAAAATAAAGATGGGGAAGAGCTATTTACAGTGGCGAAGAAAAAAAAACTAGAAGGCTCGTAATACAGGAGAAGAGTAAACTACACCTAATCGAACTACTTCACACACTATATGAATATTTACTCCTTAGTTTGATTTTGTGAGAATCCATCGGTTATCTCTTGCGTCATACCGTTCTGAAAACCAGAGGTGAGAAAAGTATTATTTCTCTTGGGAGTAAAGTGTGCAAGAAGATTTCCCAAAAATAATGGCTGGTTCAATCTAAATACCAAAATTATTTCATATTATCCACTGTATGAGAAAAAGATTTTACGAATACAGAATGATTATATAGTGCCTGTTTCAACTCACCTTATAGCTTCACTCAAGGCTAAAACAATACCATAAAAAACAAACTCAAAACCAAAAACTTTAAAAAGTACTCTTTGTAACGACGGTTTACTTCTAGCCTTCGCGGCTCTTATTTCTTCTGCTTTCCAAGCTTTTTCCATTTTGTTTCCCAATTTACTTGACTTATGTTCCGGTAAGGTATCAGTCAAGTCCGACTCTTCTAAGTCACGCTTGAAGCCCTGAATGAAAGTCGGTATCGTGTACCTAAAAATAATCGAACATCACTCTCCAAAATTTTTACTTCGTGTTCGAGCTTAAAAGAAATTAAAATTACAACTACATCAAACAGTATAGAAAATGCAGAACTACAGCGTTAAAATATATTTATTTTGTTTAATATTTTCCTGGCATATCATTGGAATGCTACAATTTTATTAAATCTCTGGAACTAAGGAACATCATCAGACAAGTCTCTCGTTTGGCGGGCGAGTTAGTTACTACTAAACTATCAACGTGTAACAAAAAGTAACTAGATTTAATTTTTTCTGTCAGATAGGTAACTGTACAGTAAGAAATACAATCCGTTGTGTCATACGTCCGCAATACTCATTTCAAAAATCAAAACATTTCATTCGTACCTACTGTAAAATGAATATCACTTCCTGGATTAATACCGCAAATTACGATTATATGACGTAGCTTTAGACATAGTGTTAAACGTATCATTTCAGAGAAGACATGCGGATTCAATTCCAAGGATGACTCGGTTACAAATTATGTTGCTCGCGCGATCTATATCGTTACAATGCGATTAATGTTTACTCTACTAGCAGATAATTAGGGAAATATTTCACAGACAGTGTACATTTTTTTAATTATTATTTGTATTTATTACATTGACTTAGAACCAAAATATCAAAATACTACACATTAAAATAAAATATGTTTTTTTTTAATGCGTTTTCTCGCAATTTACTGTTTTAACAAATGTCAATTAAAAAGAAAAAACGGAGGATTTAGTTGACTATTAAAACAATCACCAATGATAAAATGTAAAACTGTTAGCTTCACCAAAAAAAGATATATTGCACATGCAATAACGTTAAAATTAATTCCCTGTCATACAAAATTAATCGCCATAAATGATGTTCCAATCGTTCAAGCCATGGTATTAATTACTATTTTCTTAACAAAAATACATATAGCACTTATAAAGATAACATTTTGTGCTACATCATATTGCGCCGTGAACTGAATTCAAAAAATGCTCATTAGTTACTCTTTTTAATGCCGGTAGAATTAATTCCGTCATATCAAAATTGATTGTCATAAATGATGTTCATTCGTTCGGGGCATGACATTAATTAATATTTTTTAATAAAAATACATATAGCACTTATAAATATAATATTTTTGTGCAACCACTCTAAAAATTACAAACGTTAATTTATAGAACACGCTTTCATACTTCTTGAAGACTGTTAATCTAAATTATGTAATGTAATTAATTTTTAAATGAAAACTTAATACTAAACACATTACACATAACATACAAAAAAAAGCTGTCCTCTGAAATTTATCATTTATCAGTATAAGCGTTTTAAACGTGACGTTAGTTATTTTTCGTAGTTTGATTTGACAGTTTAATCACACAGCCAATACTAGACAGTTATCTGTCACAGTAAATTACCAACAATTAAATATAATATACCATCATTATAACATTCAACTGATGTTATTTAACGATTGCCATGTATGTCATAATTCACATTGTCCGATAATTTACTATCTTGAATAATGCATTTTTTTAACAAAAATGTATAAATATCAATAGATAAATTAAATAAACATACACATCAATTAATTTTTGTTACTTTGGTCTTTTAAATACCTGTTAAATTTAACTCCGAAAATATACGCTAAATTTGATACTGCAGTTCCATACATATCACAGTTCTTAAAAATAAAAATTTAAAACAATCCTATATGATATACGTCACACGCATTTTTCTAACAAGTTACTTCCTAAAATGTATTCTTTTTTTATTTTAGCAAAAAATCTCAATTATCAATTTGAATTATTTTAAGTTCATCCAAAAGTCATTATTATGGACAGTATTTTATATCTTAATTCACAAAAATATTGGTTTCAAACTGACTTGAGCACCCAAACATAAACCGAAATTTTTACCTGCCGTGTTATTTGGGCTTAATTACATTATAAATACCTCAACAATAATGATTACATGAGATTAGGAAACATAATCTACGAAAACATGATCGAGTTAATTATGATGATGTAACAATAAAGTCGCTTACACTTTACAATACCTTGTAAAAAAAATCACAAGGACATTTTTTATGGTATGTAACGCATTATTTAGGTCAAAAGTGAGAAAAAACAATAATATGCATTTTTAAAAAATCGAAATGAAATCTTTCGAGTTCTTAAAATTTTTATCACATTAAGTCACAAGTAGGTATTATTGATTTTTCCATTCGAAAACTAGTGGAAGATCACTGAACGATATGATAGCCAAAGTTTACCCCATACTCAACTTAATGAAAACATTAGATTTTTATTACTAAATAAAATCATAACGACTACATTTTATCGCATGCGTAATTATACTCGATACCTTCATTAGTGTTCTAAACTGTCTTTTCCAATTAATTGTGCTTATATTTATGTCATATTGACGTCCGAAGAATAAATTAAGTATTGATTCTTCTGTCTAATAAAAGATATCAGCAGTTTGTATTAATTACCTAGTTCATACTTCTTACTTCTCACATTTTGTTCAATGTTTTTTAATCCCTTTTAGTATGATATGTAAATTATTAGCAATAACACATACAACAATGTACTTGTAAATAAGACAATTGATTTGATAAGGGGTTGTTTACGTTTAAACACAAAGGTGCAATGACATTATTGTGCAACGGTTACTTCAGAAAATTCCGATATCTTAACAATAACAATTATTGGTACACACACAAACGGAAATTTTACTCGCCCACTTGCCTTCAATCATTGAAAATTAAAATTAACCAAGTCACACTCGTTTGTAATTTTCAATTCTTTTGGGTAGTACTAATTAACAACAAACGAAATTATTAATTGATCAAATTTGCCCCTAATCACTAATCATATCTAAAATGAATCAGTTAAAAATTAGACACAAATAATATAGGTGTAACAACAATTCAAGCACGTGTTGCTACTGTTTTCTACTTATTTAGATTTGCTACTCGTGGGAGATATCATCTGTGATTTCCACTTAATTCGTAAGTGACATACTTACGAAACATCAAAAACAACTTGTTGACACACAATCATCAACAAAATATGCAGATAGATTTTGTGTATCAACGAAATATTCGACCATATTTGCCAAATATGCACTTAATAAATAAAAAAATTGCCGATGCCTACTTACTGAAGGACGCTTGAAATACCCCATATCAATGGCATATTGCATTCATTTTCCAAAGTTAACAATAATTAAAATATCTGATAATGAAATATGATAATACCACTTTGCTTATCAACCACGCAAATTAATTTCTGTGTATTCGGCTCCGTATGTCAACCGCTGACTATACACCCTCCTGTTTTCATAAATAAGTTAAGTACGTTTATTTTATTTTTACTTGCACTGTCACATAATAACAAAGTCCTAAAGTAAGAGTAAAAATGTATCAAAATTTCTTCCTTAATCATAACCAAAAATGTAAATAAAATGCACGATTAACCAGTTCGCTAACGATCAGTTTAGCGTGTTGTTAACTTTTAACTTTCCAAAAATATAAAAATGCCCCAAAAATAAATTAACAGGATTGGAAGTGACTTTAAATGTCGTCGTATTGTCCTCCACTATTTCCTTACAGTGTTTTATTCACTTTCAGAAGTCTCATTCAAAAAAATAATAAGGAACTTAAAAAAAAAAACTTACCAGAAGGTAGCAGCTGATAAAGGGAAAGCATTTTCTCTCGGATTTGGTTTCCTGCTTTGTTTTAGACCTGAGTCCATAACCCAATTAAACGAATACTTTTAAAACCCCCCTGCCTCATGCAGAAACGTCTGAAACAAAATATAAAATTAATAGATAACCAAAGTAAAAAATTTATTATAAAAAGTATGAAGCCAATCTAATCTACCCACCTTTAAAGCGCATACAATACTGGCACGGTTTTACTTATCAATGAAATTTATAGCACCCAAGAGGAGGGTAAAAATTGATAAACGGGTAAACACGTTACTTTAGATTAAGATTTTCGTTATTTTTTACCAAAAGTAAGATCTGATTGGTTCATTTTCCCCTTACCAACAATTGTTCTCCGATAACAATACTTTTGGTATTAGGTCATTCTAAGATATTGGATTACAGATTAATAGATCAAAAAGGATTAGGTGTCGCCTTGAACTTTATTGATTTTATGAAAATAACTCCAGGTAATTGCTTTATAATATGGAAATTTATGTATGTTTGTATTCAGCTTTACTCAGAATGAAATGCATTTCGGAAATTACCAAAGATAGGTCAGATTTTTTTATTATATGTACATACATTAGGTTTTATAAAATTTCATCATGTTTCATTTTTTTAAATTAATACTCGTATTTGTAATTTAAATAAATATAGAGATGTAAATGAAATGCTATATCGTTACTAATAGTTAATTTATGTTTTATCTCATTTAATTCTTTTATACGTATAAGTTGCAAATTCATAAATGGCATGCTAAAAAATTCATACAATAAAACTGTTACTAAATCGATGCTAATCAAATTTTAATGCTTGAAGCAACTATTACTCAGCAAAAAAAATAATTACGTGTTTTCTCCGTTTAAAATTGATGAAGTCTACAAGTTTTTTTTTTTTTCATTTAAGCTTGAACCCAAGTAAAAAAGTAGTACTGATTTTTGTTATTACACAGTTTTCCTTAACGACTTAGTAGACGACTATTAACATTTTGGTTTTCAGCGAACTGTAAATGTATTACTAAATTACAAAACTGACACTTATGCCTTAATAGTGTTAAACAGAACACGATACTACAACACCGTACAACAGGATATGATCAGTATCGATGTTTTCTTCTCAAAAGATTTCCACTCACAGATAATGATCAGTAGTTGATAGGAAGCGGAATCATTTTGTTCCTACATGAGTACTTATCACATTTATCAATACAAATTTCATGGAATCCACTTAATAACTTGACCTGCTTGTCGCAGCAATAAAAAAGCCTCGAAATTGCTAAACTTAACACAAAGTGTTCACTCTTTTCGTCAACAAGATTGGCAACATCAGGATAATTATTATTAAAGACTATTCGACAGTTTGTGTTAAATTTTCTATTTTCGTGATTTTTTTTATCAGACCATACATCAATGTATCGGACATCTCCGATGACAATTAACCTATATAACCAATGATAAAAAGTGGAATTTTAATTTTTTATCAGCGCTAAAATACAAAAGTACAAGCAAACTTCAACATCAAATTAAAGTGCAGTCATTAAATACCCGAAATGATTTTGAATTGACAAAAAAGAATAATAAAAGTACATATCTAATTAAAATTATATTGTCGTATATGTTACTTTATAAATATAAATAACATTTACTGTTGTAAATTTTGGAGATGACGGCTTCACATTGTTGATGGGGATAATCAGACTAATTTTGGTTAGCTTTTTACCATCTACACAATATTCCTATTGAATTTGACAATATTTCCGGTAGTTTCAAAAATTATCGGACGGACAGACAGACAGAAACGGGAGAACTTTTTTTCGTACTCTTGGGGTCATGAAACGTCGGGAAAATATGGAAGTAGCCATTCGCCGATTGGATCCTATTACGATACTTCTTTAGCTTACGCTGAAGAAATGAAAATCAAAACTATCTTTTTGGATGTTTTATAAAAAGTCATTTAAAACTGACGGTTAACGAAGGGCAATCTTCGCATAACAAAACATAATATACCTATTAGATGTTATGACTACGAGTATATGTAGCAATTGTTTTTCTTTCAAAAAACTAGGGTTATATTATAATTACTGGTTGGTCATTAAAAGTAATATTCATATATATGATGTCACTTTTTCGTAATTACGAGTCTGATATATTATTAAAACAAAGGAATAAAAATGAAACTGATAATATAGATTTATAAAATACCTAAACTCTATTTTCCCTTTTTGCTATATCGGAATTAAATGTCATTTGGCACTATCCATAAAATTACATATATAATCACCAGATATCGCGGAACGCGTTATTGTGACTCAGCATGTAATTTATTTGTCATTTATTATAAACGATATGGGGTTTAAAATAGTAAACTAGAGTTGATACATTAGAATAAAGCCTTCGGAAACACTGAAGTTAGAAGTTCCAGATATTATAAATGATGAATTTTCTAATGTATGATAAATTTGAAAAACAGTCCCTTCTATGTGTTTTACTAAATTGTCTACCTAACAATAATTTTCCATCTTTGCACGATCCGACTTGAAGGACCAAAAAATGACTATCCGGTTCAAAGGATCAAAAAAATTGCTCAAAGGTTATTTCAACCGAACTTCCCTCGCCTATAAAGTACAGTCGAAAAATTATAAAATTGTGTGATGTGTGGACTTATTAAAATACAGGTAAAGGTGCATGCTATGCGTCTTTTGAAGTGAGTTTTTGCGTAACAAAGTTTTGTGATGAATAGGTGAGTGTAATACTAAATATGTAATACCATACTCACATTTTCGGGAAAACATAGTGATTCTAAAATTCTTGATATGATTAAAAAATTAAAGGGATAAATTTGGATTAACTGTTTACTATGCCTAAGATCACTTTAAAACATTTGCAAGATATAATATTTACTATTGTAAATTCGGAAACTAAAAATTTGATTTTTGCGGAGAAAATAGCCTTAGGGTTCTACTTTAACTTTCGCTACCACTTTTTGCAGTACTTTGTTAATTTTTGCTTAAAAAATAAAAATGATTTTGATTAAAAATGTTTGGTACATCATAAACGGTTCTGACTTATCATTTTAACTTGTCATTATATTGTCATTTAATTTATATTAATTTTAATTGACCCATTAATAGTTATTTACGTGGCAAGCTTAGTAAATTAGCCTTTACGGGCGAGCCGGAATGTTTGCAGGGCGAGCGACGTAGGAGCGAGTCCTGTAATCCGGTGAGCCCCAGTAAAGGCTAGTTGCAAGCGAGCCGCGTACAACGTTTTACTTCCTCTTGCTGAAAATCCTGAAAATGAACAACTTTGGCATCTCTAGAAATTTTACTTGAAATTACAGTCATAGAAATTATAGTCATTTTTCATAGTTTGCTCCGGTAACTATGGAAAATTGAATTGTTTGAAAATAACGGGACTGTCAATTTGTAAATTCGATTAATAATTTAAATAGTTTAATTTTATTTCTGAGCTCTGTTAATTGTGGAATTCGATGAAGGTGAAGAGTTTGAAGGTGATTTTAACGTTAGTATTAGCACAGTATTAGTGAGATTAAGAAAAAGGCGAACGCAGCGAATGTGTGTTTGATTCCGGTGCTGTCATGACAACGTTTTACAGGCACGGTGCCTGTAAAGCTGCCACGGTAACGTTTTACAGGCAGGGTGCGTGTAAAGGCTAATTTACCGAGTTAGTTCAGACGACAGTAAACGAGCTTTAACAAGACAAGAGGAAGTAAATACCTTTATTTTCAAACGTCATATAACTGACACTTATATGACGCTCTTACCGGGGTTTAAGTGTCATTTCTATGACAGCGTTTTTGAGCGGCGTATAAGTACTACTTATACTCCGCCGGCGAATAAATACAACATTTATACTCCGCCGGAGTGAAAATCATAGCGGTTGTCAACCATAGTAACCATGGTAAGTGAAATCAAGGCAATTCCTTAGTGAAGCAAGAAGATAGGAAATAATCACTTCAAAAGAAGATTCATCGTTTGAAAATAAAATATTGTATTTCATTCGGAGTTTAAGTGCCTTCATGTGACTCGTATGGACTTAATTCGCCTCGCTATCGCTCGGCGTTTAATCGTCCATACTCGCCACATAAAGTATCACTTAAACTCCTAATAAAATAAATATCTATTATTGCAGTTTTTAGAAAAGAAACAGAATGATGGAATTCAAACATAAATGAAAATAATAAAAGATAATTTCACTGAAATTGCGTTTTTAATGTCCACGATCGAAAAAACCTGTGTTTACAAATCTGCCATAAAATTTTCAAAATGTGCTCTTGCCGGGTATGGAACGATGTGGGAATGCTGCAGCAAAATTTTGACTAGTTCCTCTGTTGTCGATAAGGCTTTAATGTATCCATCAGTGATTATTTCTACTTTTTCTTAAATTCTGTACTGCGGCATGTTGACGAATTTCGGTCACAAAAAAAGAGTAATCGAACGAGTAATCAAAGTTTAGAAAAGTCAGGTAAATGTCTGTTTTTACATGGCTGCCTACAATATTTGCGACAAAAATATCCAAATATTTTAATTTTTACTTCCCGAGCGTAAGCAAAGGAAGTATTGTAATCGAGTCCGTCGGCCGACTCTCTACTTTTACGTTTTCTCGATCTTTCATGACCCCTAGAAGACGAAGAAATAGGTCTCCCATTTCCGTCTGTCTGTCCGTCTGTCCGTCCGTCTGTCCGTCCGTCTGTCCGTCCGTCCGTCTGTCCGTCTGTCCGTCTGCCGTCCCGGATTTTTATTAGACAGATAATCTCCGAAAGTACTCGACCGATTGTTGTGAAATTTTGTACTTATATTAAGAATATCATGTAGATGGTAAAACGCTCACCAAAATTTGTCTAATTATCCCCACCACTAATGCGATGACGTCACTTCAAAATTGTACATAGTAAATGGGTTTTCAATTGTATAAAATAACATAGTCCTACACATGTAGTTTACAACTCCGAATCGACTTTTCACCCGAAACGTCCAGATTTTTGGAAAAAAAAATCAAAATTATAAAACAACATTTTGAAATTTAATTTTTAATCTGCTAACCAGAATGCTTTGAAATGTTGCAGATGTTTTAAG